TCTTTGGGTCAGAGTGAGAATTTAAGATTAAAGTAAGATCACGCATAGGTTGGGAAAACCTCAAGCGATGGTTACACTGGTCTTGATATAATAGACTAGATAGTTTGCAGGGAGGGGGCCTGAGAGTATGCTCATCTGATCTACATGTGTTTTGTGGACCTGAAAAATGCGTATTACCGGGTCCCTCGAGAAATACTGTGGGATTACATTACATTACATGTCATTTAGCGGACGCTTTTATCCAAAGCGACGTACAATAAGTGCATTCAACCATAGGGTACATGGTGGGATCTTCTGCAGAAGTATGGGGTCCCTTCTTGGGGCCATCCAATCCTTGTACGCCCCAAAGCGAGATCGGTGTTCGGGTTCTGTGCAGTAAATCAGAGTTGTTTCCGGATAAGTTCTCCTTTGCTTCTCATCTGTCACGGGTGCTCAGGGTGAACCCTCTCTCATCTCTGAAAAGCACAGGTAGTGGCGGACATGATAATTGGAGTGTTTTATAGCAAATGCCAACGGAGCTCCACGGTGCTGGGCAGTTGGCACAGGGCACACTGCAAGACGCCCTGAGGCCACCTTTATGAATGTTTCTGCTTGTTTGGACAGACATTCAAGTCTGTGGCCTGCCAGAGGGCATTTTGCTGGGCTCGGGCAGTGCTAAACCTGTTCCTCCTTGCACAGATCAGCAGATGTCCTGCTGATGGGTTGAAGACCTTCTACGGCCCAGTCCAGCTCCCCTAGAGTAACTGCCTGTCTCCTGGAATCTTCATGTTCTGGAAATTCTCCTGGGAGACACATCAAATGTCCTTGCAACAGCACGGTTGAATGTTACATCATGGAGGAGTTGGACAATCTGTGGAACTTCTGTAGGGTTAGTAAATTCACTAATAGTGATGACTAAAGCCAACCATAGTGGAAAACCAGTCAAAGAGATCAAGGGGGAGAAACTTCAATTGGCCTCCGCATGCAAAACCAGTATTGGGGGTCCTTTTCATTGTTGCCCCTCTAGTGCACCTGTTAATTCCATCGACACCAATGCAGCTGAAAATAGATTTATTGATAATATATATTTCAGGCTGAGAAAAGAACATTTTCTGGTCATTAAATAGGATCATAAGCAGCACAGACACATAAGAACATAACATAACTATTAAAACAACATTAAAACATGAACCCGCCTGTTAAACTAGAAAACAGCTATTTAATTAAATTGTCTTTATTTTTGTAAGTCCATAATTTTCTTTCATTATATAACATCCATCCGATTTCCATCTGGCTTGCAACTCCATGGCCTTATTTCAAGACTGAAGTCATACTAATAAAAGAGAACCAACCTGGTGGAACAGCATCATTAATGAGTTCTTGCTAAACTAAAATGTTAGAATTTTCCATTTAAAGAGCTACAGGATATTGTCTTAGAACAAAGGCTGTTCCTGGTGGTGGTTGAGAACGCAAGACATGACGCAAGCAATTAAAATATAAGGGAAACTTTTTTGCAAGTTGTATTCCTTGTATGTCCTTGGAACCTTATCTCCAAACGTTTTTGTATTTTATATCCCCAAAGCCTTCGAATGTTGTTTTCCAACTTTTTCTCACATTTATGGATTTTCAAAATTGTATTGCTTGAGTTGGTGAATATGTTTCTTGTTTGAAACGTTTCTGGAAAGTTGTTTTACTAATTGTTATGACTCAGAGCGTCAAATAAAAGTTGCGTTTCACCTCCCTGCCTGAGGGGGGTGCCGTTATATTTTGCCTTGCTCTGTGCCTCTTTTTTGAACTCTTCCAACAGCGTCAGCTCCCGCAGCTGTGCAAACTCCGTAGTTTTACTGGATTGACACCATTTATCGAAAAGCATGCCTTTTCCACGTGCAAACTCTACGTAGGTCTGGCTTTCATCCTTTCCACCACCTCTAAACCTTTGCCTATATGGAGGCATATAGGCAAAGGCACTAGTTCATATGCCCGTAACACTTTCGCCTTCACCAGATCATAGTCCAAACTCTGCTCCAGTGTAAGAGCGTTACACACCGCCTGAGCTTTTCCCACCAATTTACAGGAGCAGTCCAGACATCCGTCGGACATTTTAAAGTGGATGCGATGTGTTCAAATATGAATTCATTTCAGACTCTCTGAAGGGTGGTACCAGCGCTATGTGCCTGCTGACATCAAAGCTATCTCGAGGAGACTGCGGTGTCTGATTTGTTACAGGTGACTGAGGCGGGCCACCAGGTTGGTGTTCCAGCTCTGAGGCTCTGACCCTAAGGTGCATAGCTTCCACCTCAAACTCCCGATTCCTCAGATCCAGCTCCTTAACACGAGCTCCTCAGTAGACATCACCGGCGTAGCTTGAATATCCACTTTCTTTGGCCCCTCTGCAGTAAACAGTCCCCTCTCCCGTAGCTTCTCGGTCACGAGCGGTCTCAGTTCCTCTCCGTTTATGTTCACAAGCATTTCTATGTCAAGTGTTTGCAATGAGCACCAAATCCACCTTCCTACATTTGCTTAATTGCTGTACTATACTAATAAAACACCGACAAACGGCTTAACCAAAGCTGAACGAAATCACAAAATAAGGAAAATAACAAATTGACAAACCGACAAATAACAAGTTACGGCCTGTCTCTCGTACACAGTTAAAATATGTCTTGACCCGGTAGTTGGCCCACAGCGAAACACTCAAAAGAGCCCAACAACGAAGCAGACCGAAACAAGGTGGGTTTAGCCAAAGGCAAAGTGAACTTAGCTAAGGGCAAAGCAGCAGTGGTCTCTGGCAGGTTAGCGGGTGTAAAGCTGCTGCTCAATGATCAGACATGAAAACCTTACTATGGCTGGAGGAGGGAGCTAAAGCCACTGCGCTACATACCGGTCAGGCCGCTTCGGACAATCAGCGTGTAAAAATAGTGTCAGCGTGGGTCGGAGGGATCGACGCTACCACGAGGATTACCAGCGGCGGACATTGAGTGCATCAGGTGGAGATTAGTATGCAGCCATACCAGTGAGCTTCTCGGACACAAAGAGCACTTAAATGAGCACTGGACGGACAACGTGGGAGGGAATACAGCTGCTGCCAACAGTCCACCTGTCACCACACGGCGCAGCGTGAAAGACACCAGGATGTGTCGTAACCCCAGCCTCTGGCAAATGAAATGCAGACAGGTGCTCTGAGGCCGCCTTTGTACAGCATTGTCATGCAGCGATTGGCTGTGATCCAGACCCAGCTGAAAGTTATTAGGACCAATCACTGCATACTGCCACACATGACTTGTATGTGTGTTGATTCTGTCCCTATAGCAGCTTATCTAAGGGCTGGTCCAGGCTAACCTGAGCCAGCCCTAACTGTAAGTGTTAGCAAAGAGGAAAGTCTTAAACTTTATCTTAAATAAGGTCACTGTGTCTGCTCCCTGAACTGAAAGTTGAAGTTGGTTCCACAAAAGAGGAGGTTGATAACAAAAGTTGAAGAAGAAGAATGTTTTCTGAATGTTGTTACTTTGCAACAATGTATTCTTAAATCTTAAAATGTCCTCTCTTTATGAAATCTCATCATTTATAAATTCAGCTAATGATGGTAGTGTCATCTGAAAACTTCACAAAAGAGTTTGGTAAACTTTTTAGGAACAATGATGTCTGTCCGTAAGCCCTTAAGCACGTGGGAATCCTGACATTGATAGTGATAAAATACTTGTGATATCCTCGGTTATCTGGTTGGTACACATTCTTTGTACATAACCAGTAAAGCTGCTGGATCAGGTCACATCCTCTGTGCATACTTCTTGTTCCGGTCTTTCCCGTCTGTTCCCTCCTCGTACATTTCCCGCTCCAAGTTTTGAGGCCTTCTTGAAGGGGGTAGTTTTGTGTGCGGCCGCCATTTTCTATGAGGCCAGCTACCCCTTAAAGGGGAAGTGGAACCAATCTACCACTTCTGCCCTGGGTGATGCCACAAAACTTACACCATCTGCTTACTCTTTGTTAAGAAGATCATTACAATCATAAAAGATGTTCAACTCATCTGGGAGCACGGTCTCACACATGAGAATGTCTCGCAGGCTTTTATAGTGTCAGACATTCTGGATAACCTGCCTCATATCTTTACCGCGATGTTGGACCATTACGTCAAACGTTTGAAGGAGCCAGGGTTGTATCATAATCCTTTTCTTTCCAGAACAAATGTATAGTCCGACTTATTATATCACTATGTCAGTAAGTAACACAAAGTAGTCCACTCTGCCCCCACCCAGCATTAAGCTTCATGGAGGTCGCGGTGTTCTGGTGTCTGTCAGTCCTCGCCAGCACAGGAACCCAACAGGAAGTGATCTCACTGCCTCAGCGAGACAAGAGATGTTATTTTTGTTTGTGCTCTGCACAACCTTTCATTGGATGAGGTGGTTTCATTTTTTTTGTTCAGTTTCTGGAGGGCATCTGGATGTTTCCCTAATCCTGACAATTGCCATGGTTCACAATCAACACTTTATTTTTTGCTTGTCTTTTCACAAACGTTTTGGTAGATAACAGACAAAAAAGAGGCAATGGAACCTTTACCACTTCCTGGAGCCCTTGCTCGTACCACATCCTGTACCTGTCCAAAAATGTAATGACTAAGTGAAAGGTGCACTTCCTTAACTCTTTCTCCGACTATGCCAATTTTAAAACTAGACATTCATTTTGATGTCAACAACACACTTTTATAGTTTCCAAACTTTTATCTTATACGGTTGTGATGCTACAGCGGTGACTATACCTTCCTGCGGACATAGATGCAAACAAAATGAACATCTGTTGGGCTAAATTAAACCCAAACTCACTGTCATTGTGACCATTTCATTCAGTCTGCAAACAAACACACACACACACACACACACACACACAATTCCACACAATAATACTTCTTTACATTTCCACTAAAACATCAATCCTTTCGGATCATTTTCTGGGCCACAAGATGGCAGCAGGTGCAACTATTCTTTTTAGAAAAGTTGCTGCCATAGAAAAATATAGGCGTGTCCTAAAACAGGACGGGAACGTGGAGTTTAGGATTGAGAGAATGAAAAAAAAGACGAAGTAGATAAAATGGAGTGTTTGAATCCGTCTTCCTGTCCCAACAGAAGAGAAAACATTTCTATTAAGTGATGAAGGTATCTCGGTTTTCCACTCCTCTCTTCTCTCCCCCCCCACCCCCCCCCCCCCCCCCCCCCCTCCATCCTGACAGTGTCTCCTTCTCCCTTCTGCCAGACAGCTAGAGGGAGGCTTTCCGCTCAACATGCAGACAGATGTGGAGGCTGCAGCTGCTCTCATCGTTCAAAGTAGCTGGAAAGGTCAGCCTTGAGTAAGACAACAACAGCATGCCACCTGAACAACCTGTCCACGTAAGTACATGACACTCGCATCTGTTTTCTCTGCTTACACAGACCAAATGTGCTGCTGATGGGTTACAGTCACATGCTGTAAAAACTGGTTGTACTTCAGTTCAGTCTGTAACTAGTGACCCCAAACTGACTTTCAATGCCAGCTTTAGTGTACATTTAGAGTCGGAAATTAATTTATCACAACCTCACACAAATAGCAATTGTTTTTAACTTTTTTTGATGTTAAAAAAGTTAATCTTCTGAAGGGAAAATTCTGAAATCAAGGCATTGCATTTGAAATACAATTATTATATTTATATATTTGTGTCATGCTATGGGCCCGACAGAAAGGCTAAGCTTTAGAATGCAGAGCTGCTCCAGGAGCTTTTGGTGACGAGCATCCCCATGATTGACCAAACCGGGTCAGAAGCAACCAGAACAAAACAACCGGGTACTCATCATAAACAAATAATGGTTTACCTCCTTCGAAGCGTTAGAGTCTTGGCTACAATATGTTTGAAAATACTCTAAAATACTAAAGCAAGTATTACATGTTAGGAATTATCCTATGCAAATTAGTCCCGAAATTGTGCACTCAGCAATATAAAGTTAAACAATCCCGCAAAGCTAAAAGCGTATCAATCATAAATATCTCCTACCTTGGCCATTTTGAAGGAAATTATGAAATGATTCTGCTATTTCTGCAATACAGTACGGACACCCGCCATCTTGCATGACTCACACAGCTTCTTGTTGGTTTAGAATGACGTTTTCCAGCCAATGCTCACTCTCCAGCGTGGCTTCTAAGTGTCTAAGGAAGCTGTTGATCATTTCTGCGTCAGATGGTTCACAAACATGGTTGAACGGGCCAGGTCGGCCTAAGGGAACCCGGGATAGACACTGTGAAACATGTGTACTGTCCTCACACTGCGCTCATATAGATGTGGAGATGTATCTCCATGTTTATAACTTTTGTTAAATTAACTTTTCATGAATAGGTCAGAAGACAGTTTTAATACATTTACATGCAAACCTTCCAGGGAATATGTGGAAGTTACTAGTTTTCCACGCTGTTGATGGGGGTGTACTAGGGGTGTAACGATTCATTCACTGAATCGATTAATCGATTTATATACCTGCAATCCAACTGAATCGATCTGTGCTCCGCAAATCGGCATTCCGGACGACATATCGCTTACGAATCGGTTGAAATGGTACATAATCGATTGTATCGATACTTGCACATTGGATTTAAGTACAAAAACGGTATGGATGCGTGTTTGTTTGTTTGGTTTTTAGCACTTTAGACGCGTTAAACGTTACTCGATTCAGTCTTCCTGTCTGTGACGTCATCAGTACGCAGCGGCAGCCGCGCAAAACTCTGAACAACAACAAAACACAGCGTGGAGGAGACGTCTGCGAGCGAGACATTTACAAACCAACTTATCGATCCAGCGTGTGGAAACATTTTGGCTCTTGCAAACACAGAGGTGTTCTTAATAAGTCGGTCGCTGTTTGTAGAATATGTAGAAGACAAATAAAAAAAAACACGGAAACACGACGAATCTTTCCGGCCTTCTACTAAGGCGCCGTGGGATTGAACAACGCCGACAGTCAGGACCAGTCAGGACAGCAGCAGGTAACTCCAGCTCTGCAGACACCTCAGGCCTCGCCAGCACCAAACTGTGAATTGATCCAAACATTGTGTAATTATTGTGTAATGTTTACATTGAAAATGGCACTTGATTTAAATAAAAGGTTAATACATTTGCCATTAATTGTTGTTTGCTTATTTATAATATCCATAATTAATTTAAACTTGATTTCCTTACAAGAAACAACAGGGATCTCAGAAACTTTGCCTGCACTGTCCAGTAAAGTTACTGAATCGATTTCAAGTCACTGAATCGAATCGAATCGTTCTAAATGAACCCAGATCGTCCATGAATCGAATCGGCAACCATGAATCGTGATTCGAATCGAATCGTTGTTAAAATGAATCGTTACACCCCTAGGGTGTACACATATCCAAACTGACAATCCCCACTTAAATGAAAGGGATATTGTTAAAAGAAATTTGAACCAGAAAGTTTTTATTCTATATCAATCAAAGAAACGGGTAAGTGTCGCTGTGTGTAATAAAGTATCCGAATGAGAGTTGGAACCTTCTTTATTTGTGCACCACAGTTTAACAGAGAGAATCCGCCTCCCGCTAATAACAAAACCACGACACCGGAAGTTAATCCCGCGAGACCCACTTGTAGTAAGTTAACGCTTTAGGGTCAAAACAGTTAAACAGTACAGCTATCTACATCCCTCTCTTTAGCTCCTGAACATGAGAAAATAGAATCACACACTTCTGCACTAACAGCAGTTTTATAATAGAAACGTAGTTATGATTTGGATAACTCAAAAGTAACTCTGTAAAGTGGCCCACAACTGCACAAAATGCTGTTGGATTCAATACAGTTGAGCAGCTATCTGAGGTCATGTATTTTCTATTTGGCCTAGAGGCTCTGCCGGACCTAGTGAGATCCATGGAGGTGGCGATATGAACTGGGCTTTTGACTGGGATGCACTAGTGGGAGGCTTTTCTGGACTTTGCCTGTGACACTGTTCTGCTGGCTGTTTGTTCAGTTCTTTCAGTCCTGTGTGTTTTGTCCATGTCAGGGTCAAATGTGTAACCTGCAGTTCATCAGTGTCATCAGTGTCTTTGGAGCCTGTGGCTCCATCACTGGGAGGATGTGGCGTCGGTTACGCATATTCCTTCCCTTCAGAATCTACCACAATATGAGCGTGGCTCATCACACTTTCGCTTCACAATTCCCACTTTATTATGTCCCCTTTTTGTTTCGGAGTCTTACCACCTGTGGACTGTGAATACTGTGGACTGTGAATACCTATACAGGAAAGCCTGGCTGGTATACTGGGTGCCATTGCTGAGGACACCTTTGTGGTAAAGTGACGCTTTAGCTTATTGATGACAGGCTGCTGAGCTGGTCAATTTCAAACCAGCCAGAGTATGAATCAACAAGTACCAGGTAATGGGGATTATTCCCACTGAGGAATACAAGGCGCAGGGAACTTTGAGGCCACTTCGAGGTGGGTAAACGCTGTTTAGAGGTGTGTGAACGCTATTTCCAAAATTCCAAAGGTGCGTAAACGGCGTTTACGTGCGTTTACCCTCCACTTACAGCCCTGTCTGTGGCGACAAGAGACTAGGGCAGGACTGGGACTATGTGCAGTTTTAGCGGCTCTTTTTGTTTGTGGGACATCAGGCTGTTACAGACGCCGTATGCCATGGCAGCCTGAATGTCCTCCATTTAAAGATGGCCAGAAGACACTTTCCCCCTTTGTGGACTTAACTCCTGGGTGTCCCATGTGGAGCATCTTCAGGTATTCCGAGGTTTCCTTTCATGAAGATCCTGTCTACGACGGTGAGTTCATCACGGAATGTGAAGAATGGTCTCACCTCTGTAGGTACACTGCATCGATGCCTAGGCCAGCCCTGTTGAATGAAACAGAGCTTCTGCAGCGGTGTGTTGACGGAGTTCTTCAAGGCATCGTAGGGATATTAGTTGAACTTTCATCACCTCAAACTCTGGCCGTTCTTCCCTCTGGGGGCTGATGTTGCATCTTGTGCACGGGAAAGGGTGTCGGCTAAGTAGAGATGCTTTCCTTTTGTGTAGGTGAGAGTCAGGTTGAATTTTTGCAACTATAACATCATGCGTTGCAGCTGAGCTGGGATGGTGTGAAATGGCTTGTTGTGAATGGTGACCATGGGCTGGTGGTCAGTCTTAATTACAACAGCCTTGCCATAGATGTAGTCATAGAACTTGTAGCAGGCAAAGACCACCGCTAGAAGTTACTTTTCGATTTGCGTGTATCTCGTCTCCGTCAGTGTGCAAGACTAAACCATATTGTGATGCATCGCTGGAGAGTGTCACTGGTTGCCTCACATCATAGTAATAGGTGGGGGTGGGCTGCAGGGGGATGAAAGGTCTTGAGCCCATCAAAAGCATGTAGTGGTGGGGTAAGGTCACTTAGGTTTGGAATGAATTTGTAGTTTACCATTCCTAAGAAGCGCTGAAGAGCTGGCTTGTCCTCTGGGGGTGGTATTTCACTGATTGCTTTAATTTTTTTAGGGAATGTGTACCCAACATAACTCACCTCGTTGAGTCCAAGCATTTGCTGGGATACAGTCTCAGTCTCACCTGTCTGGCATGATCCAGTACCTTTTTCAGGTTTCTTTCACGCTCATCAGGTTCTTTCTCACCAACGAAGATGTCGTCCACTATTATAGCAAATGGATATCCTGGAAGATTTGTTTGTTGGCTCTTTGAAATACTGAGGCTGTACTAATTCGAACGGCATCTTTAAGAACTTGAATCAGCCATACAGTTGTGAATGTTGTGCGGAGGGATGAGGCATTATCCAGTTTGATTTGCCAAAAAGAGCTTTTGGCATTAAGGATGGAAAAGAACCAGCGGAACCTGACATCTGAGCGGCATGGGATGGTGAGGGCGCACGAGGGCCTTGTTTAGGTTTCTGGGGTCTATGCAGATGCACACGTCACCCGTCTCTTTCTTATGTGTAGCCACCAAATTCAGAACCCATTCTGTGGGCTCATCCACTGGTTCAATTACTCCCAGAGTTTGAGTACTGGCAGCCCCTACCCCTCCGTCAGACTGCCAACAGTCGCCTCACGGTATACACGGGACCCCCGTCGATGAGTCCCCGTCCAGGTTGGGGAAGAGCGGGGGCTGATAGCCATACACGCACTGGAAGGGCGAAAAACCTGTGGCAGAAACGGGCAAGGAGTTATGGGCATATTCAATCCAAATGAGATGCTTACTCCATGCCGTGGGGTTCTGCGAGACTATGCAAGGTAATCCCGTCTCCATCTCCTGGTTGTATCGCTCGATCTGGCCATTGGACTGAGGGTGATACCCAGATGACAGGCTGGCCGTCGCCCCGACGAGCAAGCAAAGCTCCTCCAAAAGTGTGATATGAACTGTGGGCCACGGTCGGAAACAACGTCCTGCGGGAGACCATGTAGCCGAAAAATGTTAGACAGGAGAACCTCCGCAATCTCCTTGGCATAGAGTAATTTACTCAGGGGGATGAAGTGGGCCATCTTAGAAAACCTTCAGAGGCTGGGAGACCAGTGACGAAATCAATGGAGATATGGGACAATGGCCAGAGTTAGCCGGCTGGTGGGCGACGAGAGGGCTTGCTCTGGGAACAGACAGGGCACAACATACTCTCTCACCTCCTTGATCATGGCGGGCCACCAGAACCGTTACTGTAGATAGCTCAGGGTTCAACCACTGTCTGGGTGGAAGGTAAGTTGAGAGGTATGTCCCCTGTGGATGACCCGAAACCGAAGCGACTTGGGAACAAATAGGCGGTTAGGTGGGCAACCCTTGGCAACGGTTACCCTCTCGAGAGCACCCTTGACCTCTTCGTCAACTCCCCATGTTACTGCCCCAACTGTGCAGAAAGGGGGCAAGATGGTGGAAGGTGCCGTCAATGGAGCGTCCGGGTCAAATACTCTAGAAAGGGCATCCGGTTTTGTGTTCTTGGATCGTGGACGATAAGAGTTTGTTGAAAAAGGGTAAAGAATAAAGCCCACCTGGCTTGTCGGGAGTTGAGTCTCTTAGCTGATCGGATGTACTCCAGGTTCCTGTGGTCAGTCCAGACCAAAAACGGATGTTCTGTCCCCTCTAGCCAGTGCCTCCACTCCTAGAGGGCCAGCTTGATGGCTAGTAGCTCTCGATTACGCACATCATAGATTCTCTCTGCGGGCGACAGTTTCCTGGAAAAGAATGCACAAAGATGAACCTCAGTTTGCTTGTAAAATCATACTTATTCATAGAAGGCAGGAGCCAATGCATACTAATTAAGTATGTGGTCTGAAATACGTAGTTTGAAGGATGCGGGATGCAGTACTTTAGTAAGTAAATAGCTGCCCTTCAGCACAAAATAGTTGCAGCCACCAAACGTGTATCTCATTTCAGTAGTCTAGAGAAAAAATAGTCCCCGTACGTGCACACAAACAGTATTGGGTGGTCCCGCACCATCTCATTCATTGACATTGCTCATGACGTCCACCTTAATTGTCCGGTTTCGAAAGCTCGCATTGTCCGAAAACAATCATTTGTGGGATCTCCATTTCAACGGTCGCCCAAAATCTAACCTGTTACTTTGAGTGCACAGTGATAGGGAGCGCTCGGTTCCATGTGAACAGCAACTGCAACATTATCGCTCAATAATGCACCCCTCGTGACTCACTCTCAACTAATCAGAACGCTGGATTTCATCTACCTGTAGTATAAAATTCTATTTGGAACACAGCCAGTGTGGCCGGTTAGTACCAGAACCAACCTCCGTGTACGATGAACAAAACCACAACTGTTGGCCAAGCTGACTAGCACATATTTCCACTTACTCCAACTGGCTGGAAGGCTATGTTTTCAACCGTATTTTCATGAGCATAGTTTTACAGACTATATCATATCTCATCATAATTCTCTTTTTATCTTTAACTATATTCTCAAATAGGTTTGGAGGGGAAACACACTGTATTTTCTCCCAGTCGCATTCTTAAAGTGACTATCATTGTAAATTGAAATGAAAGAAAGTCAAATGTTACTTATTTGTTACTTATGTTTATGCAGGAAAACTACTTGGCCAGGTTTACTATAAACATAGTATGGCTTAAAATAAGTATGTTTGTCTTGTTATTTAGTCATTGGGGTGAAGCTTTACATTCATTATTCCTTAACCGTATTGTACGCTCATCAGCCTTAACGGTGCATGATCGATTTAGTGGGTTACCATGGACCTGAATTATGATCAACCATGCCATCATTCACTTCAGTCCATGTGTCATAAATGTAGCTTTATCAAATGGGTGTTTTTGTGAGACTTCAATGTGCTGCGTTTGGACTTGGAAGACAAATGCAGGCTATCAAAGTCCTGTTATTCATTGGTTCTCCTGCTGCAGAGTCTCGTACCCAAAAGAAATAAAGTTTACTCTCATTCTATTCAACGAAACCAACCAGCATGGTTTGGAGTTTAGGCCTTTAAGAGATTCTAGAATTTTGTTATGTGTTAACTTGATTCTTCTGTACAATAAAAATGGACCTGAATTTATTAATCTCTTTCCTAGTTTTCTTAACAATATAATGTAATCGTCTCCATGGTCATAGGTCAAGCTACAGCTGCAGAGGGAGAGGTAGTGCGGTTGAATGGCTGACATAGAGGAAGAGAGGGACTGTAAGTGCGATGTGGAGAGGAAGGGAGGATTAGAGTGGGTGACTGTGGTGGAGCATGATGTCAGAGGAATGCATTAAAGCCTCTCCTTTAACAAGCAAGAGGCGTGTGGAGCGCCGGCCACCTCCCGCTCTTTCTTACACACAGAGACTTTTCTCCCCGCTTCGACTCTTTTTCTGTCTGCGGCCAGCATACACACTCTTACTCTTTCACTTGATCAGAATCAAGACGGCTTTGACAGCAGCAGTAACAATTTTCAATTAACTATAAGCATGTGCATGTAGAACATTTCTCGGATATATAGCAACTGATTTACATTGCCATTAAAATGAATAAATGTAATCAGACTTACATTGTCATTTAAGTGGAATGTGTATTCATTGGTTGATTTCCATCTTTACTCGGCCCTCCCTCTCAGCATCCGGTCCTGCAGCTGGAGTTTGTTGCAGGGATTACAGAGCTGGAGATTGAGAAAAGGAAAGCAAAAGAGACAAAACGAGGAGAGAGAGGAAACACCAGTGGAAAGATCCAGGAGAGACGAATGGAAAAAGAGAGAAAGTGACTTGTGTAATATGTTGGAGAGCCAGAAACAGATATATGATGACGAGGACAGGCATGGAGGGCAGCTGCTTCTATAACCAACCACAGTGAAGACAAGTGTGTTAGCAGCACGTGTGTATAATTTAGAATTCCAACATGAATACAGATTAAAGAGAAATGGTCGTAACGTTTGACTGAATAGCATTTGAAGCTGTTTTAAGCACATGCAAGACAGTGAATACATCTATTATATTCCTGTGATCCTTCCAGGAGCAATAATGTTAATACTTTTGCAACTACTATCAAGTTAATATCATAATTCTCAGAAAAGCAACATGACACTATAAAATAACGATGCATTTATAGGTATGCTCAATCCGACTAGAGGATGAAGTGAATATTGTGTTCAGCAAAAAAATCACCTTAATGCATCAGGTCAGTGTTTTGAGAAAGCTGACCTGACTTGTAAACTCCTTTGGGTCTGATTTGAACATGGTAGGCAAAGGTTTTGCTCAAGCAGAATCTGCAATTGGACGACTGCTGCCATCATAACTCGATCCGATCATCCACAAAATGATTCAAATATCAAAAAATGCAAACAACCTAGACATTATTTGAAACTGAAGAATGTCCTGTTCATCTTCAAAAGAAGTTGGTTTTCAAAATTGCGAGTATTCAAGCTAGCTCTTCTTGGGCTGAAGATTAGTCCTGCACTGCTAAACAGCCTTTTACAGGCCGCTGAGGCAGGTAGAGGTGTGTTCAGCTTCACAGACAACTTGCGCACAGCTGGGAAGGATTTCAGGAAGTTAATGTTATCTGCTGGACACGTCATTTATCCATCCAGTTGTTTGGTGTTGTAGTGTTCCTGCAGTCGGCTATCTTATTTTATTCATATATTGCACCAATTCACCAAGTCAAATTCCTTTATGTGTAACATATGTGGCAATAAATGGCTTCTGATTCTGTCAACACTTCCTCACCTCACTAACTCGCAACTAACTAGCAATCAGTCCATTACACTAATTGCCTCATTTGATTTACGATGGCTAGCGAACGATATCCTAACAGACACCTGTCCCGCCTTCCCAGGGGATATACTCTAATCCTGTGGGACACACTGATAGATACAGGCTTATTATGATTAATAAACATTAATGTTGCAGCTCATGGGGTTAATCTTAATTTAACTCGAGGGAAAGGAAATTAATTTCTTACCATCTTTCTTTTTGAAGAATGAATAACGTTAATAACCCTAGCAACATAACGTTAATCAAATTTTTTTGAATTTGCGAACTCTCTACTCTGCGGAAAAAAAGAGTGGGGAAAAGTTTACTCCATAACTCGAGAAAGCTAATTCAGTCCACTTTTCCACAGTTACTGAATGGGGAAAGAAAGAGGCCAGTGTTTCATTTTCCCCAAACATTTAATAGGACTGGCTATTGCCTATTTCACCACAGCACAGCATAACACAGGGACTTTTATAAGCAGCTGTAAGCCATTCACAGTAGCCTGGGGCTTGGAAGGACCTCTCCCCAGGAAAATTGGAGATAAAGAAAAATGTGTCTCAATTATGTGTGTGTGTGTGTGTGTGTGTGTGTGTGTGTGTGTGTGTGTGTGTGTGTGTGTGTGTGTGTGTGTGTGAGAGAGAAGAAACAGAGAGACGGAGCTGAACTGGAAATAAAGCGCTAAATTCAGTTTGGTCTAAAGCTGGCCTCCATCTGTAAAAAACTTAACAGAAATGTAACTATTGAGCACACAGTGAGAAGGAGTTTCTTTGTGTGCCATTTTTAGGTGTTTGAATGAGTCATAGAGTGGTGATTCAATCTGTGATACATCTGAGCTCAGGTCTTTGATGAGAGACGTCAAGAACAAATGTCTAAGCTTTTCTAAGTATTGTCTTGCTGTCTCTACGTGTATAACTGTTAACTTTACTCTCGGTTTACAGCTTTGACCTTCTTTCTGCAATGAGCTCTCTCAACTTGGTGAAGATGTAGTCTTGACCTGCATGGAGATGTCTCTAAACAACGTCTCCTCTATCTGGTCACATTGGTTGCTGTTATTCCTGACCCAAGTCACCCTGACAACCAACTCGGCCCCCCGATCTGAAACTTCCCTTCCGCTCAATACCACTTTGTTGTTCAACAGTGGTGCCTACAACCTGCGGAATTGCAGCTGCTACTCTCCCATTCGGGAATGCGATGAGGTACTGGCCAACTCGCTGTGCAGATGCCACACCGTTTTGCGCTCCGCTCTGCCCCCTGCCGGGCTCAGAGAGCCTGGACGACTGGCAGTGTGGGTGAAAGAGCTCTGGGTTCTGGAGGAGTTGCTGAACCGGAGCATGGTGGGCCATTTGCTCTTGTCTTTTTGTGGAATGAAACCAATAGACAGTCAGTACCTGGTTCTGCTAGGTCTACGGACCCTCAGGATCCACAGCGCAGCACCAGAGGCTCCCTACCCGAGCCAGGAAATGATCATCTCCCCAGCATCGGGGGTGGCAGTGGAGCTGGAGGCTTTGTACTTTGACTTATCCTCTTCCTTCCATGTGACCTTTCTGGATGTAGCAGTTCTGAATGGGCTCTCTGTCCTAAAGGCATACAGTGTGGTGGGACCACCTGCTCAAACACTCTCTCAACAGTTCCCACACCTGGCAGTGCCCTTTTCTCTGCCATCTCCTGCTACTCCGGATAACCCCACGGATCCCAGTGAGCAGACTGCAGTGCTTCAGCAGAACCTGCTTTTTACATTTGTGTACTAACCACAACAAGTTCTATTCACAGGCATGGTGAGGTTTGTAGTACAAGTCACTATTGATGTACACAGAAATTCTGCAAATCATTAGTCCCTTGATGGATGGGTTTTGCTCTCTTTTTGCACATGACATGTTCGTTACATAATAAGTTTTTGTTTGACTAAGACCCAAAGGTGACTCGACAGGCTGACATATTATCCATCCTGATGTAACTTATTGACTTCAGACCTGCCACATGTGTGCTCTTGCTGCTTTTCGTTTATCACTTAAGGGCTCAAAATGGCTGCACTCTACATTACTCTACATGTCATGTAGCTGACGCTTTAATCCAAAGCGGGTTTCAATAAGTACATTTCAACCATAAGGATACAAACCCAGAAGAATAAGAAATAAGAAAGTGCAATTTGATTAAATAAGGCGATTTACAACGTGCTATAGATAAGAGCCATTATAAGTACCATTCAAGTGCTATAATTTGTTTTGTATTTTTTAGTCATGGTGTAGTCTGAAGAGCACTCACAACATGTCATTTTAACACCAGCTACATTTGCAAGTCTTCGTACAGCATATTGAAGTTACCCTCCCATAACATAAGCAGTGTTTATTTACCAACTCGGAAGCTGTAATGACACCGGTTCCTACTTCACATATAATCTGCTCCAGTCAGTCGGAGATGCTTTGCTTGTGTTGATTTCCTGGCTCTGTGGCACAGACTTCAACACCACGATACACTGTGTATTTACATGCATGAATATCATCTCATAGCCCTGTGATAGCTAAATCTAGTTATATTATGTATTTTACATACTTTGCAAATTCTGATTGTTGCTACCACTTAATGGAGACATATGAAGCTAATTTTAACACTCATACTTGGATTTACGGTTTCAACCTTAACACGGTCACATGCTTTAATGTTAAAAAACGTTTTTCTCGTATTGTCTGTGTTCACCTTGTGTCCCCTTTAAGAGACCCAACAATGTAATTCAATAAATCACTTCACGAAGGGAATGAAAGCAGTACCCAACGGCTATATAAATGTTTCACAAATGATCTGCTAATCTGAACTCAACTTCCACATTTTGAATATTCTTTTTCTTTCATTTTCTAACAACAGTTTGAACCTCAGCCAATTGACAGCCCTAGTAGAGCAGGTAGAAGTCTTACATAAGAGCAAATTTTGTTGCTAGATTGTGAAAATACCATGTCCTTATCCTTTGTGTTGCAGTTATAAATGCTGATAATCCATTAATTAATTGTTATTGGTTCTTACTTTCTAATAAGTGTTAGTAAATGCTTTATTAACCATTATAAAACCACATGTTACATTTCATGAACTGCTTAGAAGGGACCATCTATTAAGAAGTAAAGAATAAATGCCAATGTTCCTCCAATTATTGTACATTTAGGTAGTCTTTTCAGCAACATCTATGAGGCATTGAAAACATGTAATGTATTACTAAGTAAACTATTTAGGGTAAAAGAGGTGCCTTATATGAAGGAGTGAGGTCGGTAACCGTAGCCACAACCTAGAAACTAATTCTTGACAAACCAAATGCCAAATGAGAGGGAATGAGATGTTCCAGATTTCTGCCTATTGGGTGTTCGCTCTTCATTATCCACTCTCATATATGTGAGGTCAGATCCCCGGGAAACAGGATGGCATGGTCAGAAAGGAGGAAGCTTCTTTTGCACCCTGAATATTTGCAGGTTACACTAGGTTTTACCCAGAACGATTTACTTCTGAAGAACCCTTATTTGACAAAACTCTTTTTAAAGCCTCTTTGTTAAAATATCGTCCGTGCACATATTCCCAAAAACTGTTATAGGACCATAGCTGTTACGGGTTGTTAGGAACTACGTGGGTTCCAGATTGAAACCTTGGAATGTAAAATGGATCTATTTAGAACTCGCTGGGTGCTGGATATAACCTCCAGGGTGGGTTCTGGTTTGAACAATTACACCAGAGAAGACTTATGGGTTGAACCCTCTGAAAGTGGACCAGATGGAACTTTATGTTAAAACCAGAATACATTTGGCAAAACGTCTTTAAAAATCTAGGTGACACAATTATTTCTTAGAATGGATTGAAAAATGCAGCAACTCCCTTAGATGAAAACGCAAGATCCGGTCTCAATGAATGAGACACGTTGGAAGAAGGGAAATAGCAAAATGACAAACTCCTGCTGTAATGGTCAATAGAGCATCATTAAAAATATGATGTACTGTGGCAGCTAACAGCAGTGAATGCTGGCTGGAACCAATACAAAAATCCAGTGTTGGGTCAGAGTCTGGACCAGAGCTAAGTTAATGGCCTCTTAGAAGGTCTTACTACTTTCTTATTGATACTTTTAAAAGTGAATTATGGTCTGTTCAAGATAAGGACAGCTGTCCTTGGCAAAAACGTACAAGAATGTATGGGAAAACAAAAAATGGAAGACTGAGACCTGTGGTAGTCTGCTGTGGAATGAGCTGACGGAGAGGCACAGCAGGCTCACTATTATGAAGAGGGCAGAATGCTGCTACGTTTTCCCAGCTGCTCTTTTTGAGTGCAGATGGTTCAATAAAACCAAGTGCTTTGAGACAGGTTCAAATGAACGCCTGATGAACTAGAGTCCCCGGGTGAGGATCTTTTTACCAGCCAACAAATCCTGTTATGTGTGGATCAGAACGATGACTTTGTCTTTGGTGAGTTAGATGACTTGTGCGGTCACTATCGCCCACTTTTAGTCAAGTTGCCAGGCATGTGTGAAGGAACTCGTGGAAGTAAAAGAGAAATCTGCTCAGAATGGTGTTGGAAGGGATTCAGTTCCCCTACAGCCATTTGGCAGAGGTCAATCTGCATGTTTTGAATGGTCCGAGTTTATTTTACGAGATTTTACGAGAGAGTTTTTGCACTGACTTTAACCAACAGCGAGAGGTTGAAATGTTGAATACCTCACAACTCTTTCTCTCTGGTCTCACATTCTATTTTGGTATCATGGTTCCAGCTGATTCTCGGAGAAATTTTGTTAAAGCTGCTATCACTTACAAATCCGAGGCCAACAATTCACTCGCCAGATCATTCAGTGATGGGTGTGACTATGTGGCTTCATCTGTTCATGTGTTTTGATTTATCTCACTCTAAAGTCCAAGTAAATTTGGCATTCTAAGATCATTTATCTATCAGTTTCACCATATAATATGCAATGGGTTACATTACAAGTATTGGAAGTAAGTTTGAATTCACCAATTAGTGTCCGAAGCCTGATTGTAAAGTCCTTATTGGTCTCTTCCGGTCCAGACACTGCTCTGCTATCTCCTGTGACTCAATGGATTCTCTCATTTATTTCATTGCCTCCTATCTACTACAGCACGTTATATTAAAAAAAGGTTTCTATGGAAGTCAAACTTGAATTCTTTTAATTCATTTGTCATATTTTCAATTTTATACATTTGTAGATTCAGTTGTGGCCCTCAACATATATTCACTCTCCTTTCATTTCTGGGTTGGGCTAAATCAAAAATTCTATAGCAGCTAAATGCTCCACTATGGTCACTAGCTAGTCCTTAGTTGTCTGCTATTTGCTGCTGGGCAGGTAGTGAGTGGGTAAAAAAAGAGGTTGTGTATGAAGGAGTTTGTACTGAAATACCTTCCGAATTGAATTCATAAGGGTGTGAGGACAATTCATTCATTTTATTTTGTATATCCAAACATCACAAATTACAAATTTGCCTCAGAGGGCTTTACAGTCTGTACACATGCAACATCCTCTGTCCAAAAGCTTACATCGGCACAGGAAGAATTCCCCAAAAACTGAAAAAAACAGGGATTTAAAAAGAAGAAACGTCAAGGAGAACGTCAGAGGAGGATCCCTCTCCTGGGATGGACACAATGCAATGGATGCCATGTGTACAGAATGATGAACTGATGCCAGAAATCATAAAGTTGATAAAATATTGGTAGGACTAAGCCACATAATAATAATTTAAAATGACCAATTACAACAGCGGTAGTGGAAATAGTAGAGTAACATCCATCCACTGCTTATCCTGCACACAGGGTCGTGGGGGGGGGCCCAGCCGACAGCCAATCGCTACACAAAGACAAACACCTACAGGCAATTTAGAGTGAACCAATGAACCTGATCCCCAGAGCATGTCTCTGGACTGTGGGAGGAAGCCGGAGAACCCACGCAGACACGGGGAGAACATGCTGACTCCACACAGAAAGGCCACTGGGAATTGAACCCAGGACCTTCTTGCTGTGAGGCGACAGTGCTAACAACCACACCACTGTACCGCCCTGGTAGAATGAATGAATGATAACAAAAGTAGTAATAGTGTCAGCAATAGTAATGTGACTACTTAAAATAATGACTGTAGTAGCGGATAGTAGGCAGGAGCACTGCAGGAACAGAGATGTACATTAATGTTGACAGCAATAGTAATTATAAAAAGGTAAAATAGTGATAACTAAGAAGAATAGTGTCATAAGCGGTAGCTGTCTGCAGGGGGCAGGAGGCAGGAGGCAGGAGGCAGGACCAGGGTCGGGAGATAAACACCATCCGTGGAAGCCTGTGAGGATAGAAAGCACAAAGATTCCAGGGAAGAAGTTCAACACCCCCCTCAAAACTCACAGACAGTAATAAAATGGGTTTGTCCAACCGTGTCGGTGCACTTACCACACATTTTGTACGCAGACAAATTCACCTTAATGACGCTCCCATCTGGTGAACTGTTATTGTTGTAATGTGATTACAGACCTCCAAACTACAGCAGTCGCTACGCCCCCTGTTGGAGAAACAGGCAGGAGTGCAGACAAGAGAACAGAAAGTAATATAGTGCTGCTGACAAGCAGAGCATCAAAAGTGGTCTTAGCCACCTATAAGGACCACCTGAATAAAATAATTCCTCAGTTCCTTATCTTTTTACTGCTGTTTCTTGCTGTCAAATCGCCCTGACTAACAAGAGTCTGAACCAATATTCTATGTGTAATATATAGTTGACCTTAAATTCTTTGTTCTTTTAGGTGGGTATAATATATTTTCCTTTACCCCCTTTAACAGCAGACGGACACCTACCGGATGGATGCTTGCCTACCTCCGTGAGGGTTTGACGTCACTGTGTTGTGTTAGAGCCTCAACTTCCTGTGTTTTCTTTTGTCCTCCCTGGGTCTTCATCACAGCACCTTATGTGTTTCAATCAGCGAATGCAATTATTCAAATGTAAACGCGCCTGTAGATGGCCTGTACCTGTTGCAGCAAATCGGCATTTTACAGCCTTTGACATTTTAACATTATCATTGCTGAACCATCTACTGCTTAAGGAACTGTTTTTTTTTTTAATTACTAGGAACTACTATCATTTGTATATAATTTAATTATTTAGTCAATTCCCTGAATGTATTTGTGAAAAAAAGATGTGTAGTGTTTATTTTGCCCACAGACTTTGACTTGTATGTAGTCTGACATAAAACGTTTGTTATTAACTGGTTTTGTAGTTGTATTGTGCTGAAATCGTATTAATCAACATCTTCCCACTACGGTAGAGGTGAGATTCTCATTTCTCTTTTGAGCTTGTTGCCATCTTCGCTGGAAAGCTCAGAATTCCAGAGAGCTGCAAAGTAATACGGTAGGTTTAAGAAAACATTGTGGTTGGGCTCAAAATAAGTACATACGGGAATTTAAACTTAAACAATGTAAGTATTGAAAACTGAAACGTCACCAATGTAACTTTAAAATAACTCAATGACACTTTGGGACATTAAGCGCCGTCTCTGACACTGGTCTGCTGGCTAAGAGTTCTCAGTGGTCCTCAACCTTTTCTGCCTCACCGTTTCATGTTAGACAATTAGTCCAGAGGGACAAGCTCTAATTGGAAGAGAACCCAGTCATTTTTCAACAAAAAAAAATTCTGTACGGACCGGTACCAGTCTGCGGCCCGGTGGTGGGGGACCACTGTCTATTTGACCCACCCACCCTTAGTGGTCTCGGCCCTTTCATAGTATGTCCCTTGCTCTGAGCAGAGCATTTACACACATGTGTAAATTACACTTACTCCGGTGCAGAGGAAACAAACAACAACAAATAGGTTATTTTGCAGGGTTTGGAGCTTTACCAAAAGTCAATTCTTCCTGACGGAACAAAGCGAAAACAGAACAGGCCCCAGCAGACCTGACGCGCTGGGAGAAAAAGGCCTGGCAACAAAAATAGGAATATATAATATACAAAATAACAGGACTAGTAAACACCAAATGGCTCAGGTCTGGGGGAAAGAAAGGACGGGAAGCTAAACAAAGACGTGAAGAAAAATAAGTATACAAAGAATGGGTATGAGGTAAGAAAATGAAACCAAAAGTCACATTAGGATGAGTTTGTGCAGGTCGTCACATCAGCAAAGACTACAGACCATG